CCTGGAAAGTACCTTCAGTTGGGGGGGTTTAAAACAGCAGAAGTGTGCCAAGACATTTTTCCTCTACATTACGARGAACTYRAGAAAAGYTGCTTTTATTTAGATATTTWTTTATTTTATTCTGCATTTCTGATTCTTGCTTTATTTGTGTCATCCTTTTTGCACTGTGCTGCTCTCGTGACTGCAAAGATATTTTCTGTGTCCTCAATGGCAAGACCTCTATCCTATAATTTCAGGAATATTGACCGGCTRCTCTAATGGCTTTTTACATCTCCAGTTGGAAAATCTTTAGCCTTGTTATTTAAATTTTAAGAAKAGAAACCAATATTGTTAAGAGAAACTGATGTCTGCTGTCACTTACCCAATGACCTTTCAGGAGGTGATAAAGGTTTCTATAGTGACCTGAGGAAATCATGTCTCAGGTATCAGTGTGAATTAAAAGTCTGTGGCAGGAAAAGCTTTCTTTTCTCTCTCTCTCAGGTATCCAATTCTGCCTTTGTCTTTATTCCAGTTGCTGGACATGGAGAAGGACACATAAAACACACAGTGTTTGGTTACATGGCTGTCTTTAGAGACTTCACAATGTTGCAGGGAAGGGAAAAAAGCCCATGGCAAAGCAGAGTTGGATTTTTTAAAAGCTGTGTCCATGAGAGTAACACACTCATGTTGGGGGCTGCTGCTGGAATGTCCCTGAATTTGTAACCTGTGATATCAGCTCAKTTATTCCACAAGCTTCAGGAGCTGTTTGCCTCTCTAAAAGCAGGAATAATGATTTATTGCAGATTCAGCTTTGACAGAGGTGTTTAAGTTCCTCATTTCAGCCCTTRTGTAAACTTACCTTTAATTCTGAAAGTGAAAGCTTTTCTTCATGAGAGAGTGGCTGCATTTTGTAGGTAAAAGTTGAACRTGACCTGGGAAATAATTAACTGAGGACATGGAGAGTATTTTGAGGTATTTGGGTTTTGGTTTGGTTTTATTTTAAAGACACAAGGCAGCATTTCTGCCTTGTTGTGCTCCTGGATGAAACAACCAGTTATCAACGTCTCCCAGTTTATCAAACCTGATGTGACAGACACCTAAAAAGCCTGGAGAAACCTCCAACGTTTTCAGCTTGAGTTTCTCATTGATGYCTTTCAAAATGAAGGAGAGCTGATAAATCTTTGTGCTGTCTGTATTGGCAGCATTTGAAATCAAGGCTGGCCTGGTTCTTTGAGCTGTCAGATAATTTTCTCTCATTTTGCTTTCCATCACAGACTGGGAGCTCACCAGTCCTGGGCCAGCAAAAGCAGAGCAAGACCAGCCCTGAGCCATTCCCTCCCTCTGCCTCTGCTTGTTTTTGCACCTTTTTAATGTCAGACTGGAAGAAAATACTCATCCCACAGCTTTTCTTAGCACAGATCGCAGCTCCCTGCTCCCAAAGTGTGCCTGCACTCACTGTGCTTGGCCATAATTAATTATTATGGCATTAATATGTATTTTCAGTGGAGTTGTGCTGCTGAATTCTCCATCTGGAGCAGAAAACGYGCTCTCAGAGGATATTGTGAGGGTGGGAATAACTGGGATACCTCAGTGATGAGTGAGATGCAAATAGCCAGATAGATCCTGGAGATAGTCACATCTCCTGATGGCCCAGAGGAAAACCTGAAAGAACAGGAATGCATAAAGCTCAACTGCATAATGCATAGCAGTCATAATTAATAGATTAAAGTTCTTTGTGAAACRCGATTTTTTTATTCTAATAAAGATAAGGGACGACAAATGGTGACACAGTTTTAGCAAAACAGCAGTGTCAGATGCCATGTTAGAGTTGTAAAGCTAAAGAGCTGATAAAAATGAACCTGGGGTTTCAATTTTTATGAGACTGGTGTAAGACTTTTTACCTTAAACAGCAGCACTTTTTCCTCATCTCTGGGCATGTTGGATCATTCTGGTTCTCAAAATATATACAATTACTGGGCTATTATTAAAAAGTTGCCAATCCTTTCTTCTTAATCCTTCCTAAAAASTTCAGAACTCATCCTGTGAATTGCTTTGCCTTAACAATGTTAAATTTTGCTTTTGTTGTAAAATCATGTAGATCAGCCATTGATAGAACTTTAATTGGCTGGGGATGTTCATGATTTTTTTTTCCTTTAAAAAAAAAAGCCTGCCAGCAAAATTGCTTTTTGGTGATGACTCTGCTTGAAAAGTGCTCTGCAGGGGCCCATTCCCAATTGATTATCTTTCACAGCTAATAGCTTCAAAGGCTATTTGGTGGACAGTCCAGTTTTACATTTAAATGTAAATCTCGATAGCCTTGACAGACTGATGATCAGAAAAAGGGAGGTAAAACCAGTAAAATAAGAGTACAGCTGGCATAACTTTCACCAGCTCCTCCAGGGGCAATTGTGGTGAAATTAAAATGGTTTGACAGAGATTTTTGGAGGGGATGCTGAGTGAAATCTTCCCTCTGAAGATGCAGCAGGAATAAGTTGCTAAGTGGCCCTAAAAGTTCAGTCGGGTGTCAGTGGCTCCCATTTGTGGGTTCAGGAGGAAAGTTCAGAGCACTGGAGCCACCTGGGCAAAGCCAGGCTTTGGGTGAGGCCTAATCAGGGGAGTTTTGTGACCAAGGAGGATGGGACAGACCTGATAAAGGTGGTTCTGGGTGTCACGA